AGGAATGCCCTGCAATCAACAATTCTTTGTGTGATTGATCGTCAAGTTAATCAAACAGCAGACTGGATATTCCTCTGTACTGTCGGGATGGTAGCTACTCAGAGTGGGTTAATATTTTAATAGCGACAGCAGATAGAAGATGAAATAAACGTGGCCTATTTTACAGCTACAGAATTTGCTAACCTAGCTAACAAAGATGCTAATGTAATGAATTAAGTTGCATTAACCCTGGAAGTTGTATTAAGGTAAAGTTTCAATGATGTTCACAGATTCTAAGTGCCTGGATCAATAAACCATAGCAAAACGGTCTTAAAACATAAACGGAGCGTCTTTCCAGCTGTAAGGTAGAAAACAAGCTACAACCCAGTTTTCAACAAAACGAAGCATCCTCTGAGCTTTACCCACATATACACACTCACTGGACATGTGCTATTGGTCTCGATGCAGCCAGATGTGAGACCATTGTGCAGGGACCGTCTTCAAAACACCGAAAAGAGAGAGCCTACTACAAAATATTAAATAATCTAAAAATCTCTCATAATGTGTGTAATGTGGGCCTCTTTTTGGTTATACCATAACAGCTTTTTGCATAATTTGGGGGAATTCTTATTGGGAAAAATTTTAAGTACAGTGTAGAGGCACCACATTCACTTCATACAAAAGCATTGGTTATACTCCAACTCCTAATTTGGGGCTGGGGGTGGAGGGGCTTTTGCATAATTTTACACATTTTATAAAGAAAACTATTTAATAACTTCACTCCTGTATTGTGTCATTAGTATCACTGAAACACGGGGGAACCAGTCCTATCAAATATCAGATTCAGTTAAACTGCACTGCTCTGGTCTTGGTCTCGACTTGGTCTCAGTTTAGGAGGTTTTTAAATGTGTGTACTGCTGCTGTTTGTCTTGTACTAATGCCCAGTGCATCATGTGTTCTGCAGTTTAGCCATTACACCAAAATCAGACATAACACTGTTGGACTCTTTCTGATGATTTGTAGGGATTCTTGAACAGTTTTTTGATCTGAAAAGACATACAGCCTAAATTGTTAGGAAGTACTGACATAGCATGACCAGCAAGTCAACAGACTGTGCAGAACAGACATTCAAGGAAACAGCAGCACTGTGCACCGCAATGCCTGCTGCCACCAGGGTAAATGAAGCGTGACATGTAGTACATACAGAAATCAGAAACCACACACTATGCAGCTGTTTTTGCTGTGGATGATAACATTTCATCTAAAAAGCACAAGAATCTCTTTGAATAGCCCAACAGAAGACAAAACATGCTTCTGCATTCATAACTTGTCTGAGCAGGAAAGATTTGTATGACAGTACTTATTTGTTTTATGGATTTTACTTCTTTCTGTCTCAGTGCTTGCGTGTGTGTGTGTGTGCGCTTTTATTGTTACACTAACATTTTGCACTCCCAGATGTCACTGAAGTTGACATTAAGAACCTGCTTTCAGAACGTGTCAGCCAGCGGAAAGCGCGGTCACTCTGTGGCCTTGTGCTGTCACACTGACATCTGCTGCAGAAATTTCCTGTCTGTAGGCAAAGCCATCATAGTCCTGTCTGAGGTGAGGGAGGCACACTGGATTGTGTGCTGTCACTTGAGATATTGGACAGTCAATCCTGGTAGAATCTGTTCCTCTACAAGCCTTTGGTGAGTAAGCACTGGGCAGATAATGATGTGTGCACTCAGTGAGGTACATGATTTTTGAAGAGATTTCAGAAAAGAAGTTATTTTGCTGTGCCAAATGGAAAGAGAGAAGGTCATTGGAAAGTCACTGAAAGCCGAGCCGTGGAGGGGAATGTAGCAGATAGTGGCAGAATTTAGAGCACTGCATAGGCTGCATTATTAGTCTTGTTCATATAGAAAAGAGGGCATGCAAGAAGAAAGAATGGGGAACCGCAGATAAGTTTCACTTTAAAAGAATATTTCAGCAGTAGTCAAGGCAGAGGATGACTCAAGTTTGAGCAATGTGCCAGCCAGAGTCCTGGGTAAACCTCCATACCTATGTTGTGGCTGCATTATGGGCTTTGTATGACAGTTTGTCTAGAATCAAGTCAGACCTCTTACTGGTTTTAGACAGGAGTTGTTATAATCCTGTCAGTGATGGAAAGGTCTAGTGAAGAGGGAAAAGTGCTGCAGAGTTCAAACATCAATCCTATCCATTTTTTAGTATTGTTGGCTTCAAGGAGAATAGTTCACAGCTCACTGTTGATACATTCTATAGCCTGCTTTGAATTACACACTGGGGCAAGTTAAAAAGGAGAAAATGAATGCTTTACAGCTGTGGTTCATTGACCAGTCTCTGCATGCACACATTTATCTTATTTTTAAAAGTATTTTGATTTCCTGAGTTCAGGCAGAGGGGCACCTGAAGAGAAATTTACTGAAGTGAACATTTGTATTGGTTCTCATTTGCCAGACAAACAAAATGAATAATAAGTAAATAGCTCAAAGGAACATGTTGACTCACTTGGGCTGCCCTGTTGAGCCAGCCATGACATTCAGCTTATGAAAGCTGAGTGTGAGGACAGTCAGGGTCACCAGATTCTTATTGGAAAATATTGCTTCTGCAGCTGGTCAGTATTGTTTTCTCTGGATGCAGTAG